ACACCGCGCGACACCTCTCGCCGATTCCACACGCCCCGGTGACCGGGGTAGATGACGCATCTGTCCGTCAAGTAAGCCTCGACTACACGACGGAGATAGGCAGGCACCCGGTGATACCGGAGTGCCTCCAAAATGCAGCTCCAGGGCAGCGAGTTAAAGGCGTTGGCGATGTCCAGAGACACCGCCACGACGACTCGCCTCCCGGCCAACGCTGTCCCCGTCGTGAGGTCCCTCACGCGCATGATGGCGTCCACCGTGGAGCGCCCTCTTCGGAAGCCGAACTGGCCGTCCGCTAAATCCGGCCCCCTTCCAGACAGGTGCCCGACGAGGCGGTCTGAGATTATCCTCTCGAACAACGGATTACCTTATACTAAGCAATTAGTGCCACCAATGGCCACCCGCAACTTTGAAGACGTTAAGGGATTTGAGCATTGGGGGATTCGGAGATTGAAGAAGAGGTTACCTTACTCACATATTTTATGAATAGTATCTAACTAGTCTCCGCGACGCGCAACCTCAGTAAGAGTCCCGTTGTGACTTGAACCTAGTAGAGCTTCTTCCTCAGTTAATTCACGCAGGTTTTTTTTTTTTTGAGGGATAATCATCAAGTGACTTCTCCCTGGCCCTGGGCGGTAGAAGTCATTTGAAGATGAGGGAGTGTCAGACTCTTACTGACTAAAAACCCCCCTGATCCTTCTCCTGCTCTGGGCCGAGGTCGCGGTGCCTCATTGCGCTTACCCCGCAATCCCGACTGAAAACTCGTTATTTTTAATAAGCCTCATTAATTGCACAGCCAAACATAATGCAAGTTTTGATCCGATAGACAAACTATGTGTATAGTTTTGTCGAACATTTTTTACGTCGTAAAACTACCTATGTACTAACCTATTTGACCAATAAATAAATAAAATAATAAATTGACCCATCGCTCCGGTCGAGCCGGCCTATTCGTGTCGAAGCGTGGCTCTACATCACTTGATGCACAAAAAAATGCAACGAATTTGCATTATTAATAGGGACCCGTTTAATATTGCAACGTTGCATCCGCTTCTAATGTCTATACAGTATCGAACGTGAGCACCTATTTACTTAAGTATGATAATGTCATTAATTAACTTGGTTAGTGCTGATATGCTGGTTAAGTGAATGGTATACATACAAACCTAGCTACAATGAACATAGTAACAAACTCATTTTCACTAATAGGGAATACCTATGCAAATAATTAAGTAAGTATTATAATAGGTACTACTTAGTACTTTTGGTGTGTGATAAACATAAATTTGAATATAATAATTTGTGCAGGTTAACTAGGTATGTAAATTATTAAAATATGCGCAAAATATGTTTGGCAATCCTGCTAGGTCCGTTATTGGTCGCATCGAATTGAGTAGTTGTGCCATCACGGTCTAATAAGCACCTAATACGATAAGTATGTATAAAGAAAGTATCTATAATCTTCGCAATTAGGTATGTCCGGGGCAGAAAAGAATCGGCTGGATTTACTCAGTATATGTAAGTCTGACACTCCGTCTCACTCTACTCAGACTAGTAGAAGTAAATGGATAATTATCTGCACTGTCATAAAAAGGGGGAAATATCAACTTGATGTAGACTGTTTTAACTTTTTATTTTTTACGGGAATGTCATGCTTTAAATTAGAAAAACAAACATTTTGATTTTGTAACTAAAAAATCGTGAAATGGATTTTCTTGCCCAGGGTGAGGCAGGAGGGAGTGTGTGTGTGTGCTCTAACTAAGAACCCCCCTGTTCTTTCGCCTGCTCTTGGCCGAGATTGCTTCACCTTATTGCGCTTGCCCAGCAATCCCAAAAATATTCATGTACATACATGTTTCCTTTTGGCATAGACACAGAGTTGTGGAACGGAGCCATTTTACATTAATAAGAAAAACGTCCGAATAGGCGATTTTTTTGTGTACAGCATTGTACGAGTGATAACCATATTACCTACCCATTGTACCCTGCGTCATATGCGTTGCACTGAATCGAATATCCACATTCATTGAATCGATTTTCGATAACAACATTGCAATATCTCGTTGGAAACAGTTGTGTTTTAAAATCTGTTTGAACGATTTTTTTTTTGTTTTTGGTTTGACACGTTTAGGGAACAGACACTAAAGTCTATTTTACTGTAGAAGGAAAATCATCAATTTAAATGACTATTCCGCCACGCTCTCATTTGGCGCAGCAGTGGAGTTTTGCGACAATGCGCGCTATAACCTTCACCTGCAGATTCCATGACGGCGATCCAGCAAGGAGGTTCGCCGCCACCTCTCTGGGATCCGGCGCTTACACAGGGGACCCACAGAGGGCCGTGGATAACACGATCCCCAAGTATAGTGGTGCTATAAGTGTGGGAGAGTTATGATTCGGCTCGACCGGAGTAGTACCACGGCCTCACAGAAAACCGGCGTGAAACAACTACAGCGTTGTGTTTCGCCGTGTGAGTGAGGTTACCGGAGGCTCGATCCTTCCCCTCCCCTAATCCCTCCCCAATCCCTAAATCTCCAAACCCCTAATCCCCAAAAGGTATTCAACGCATTCGTTGTCTCTCCTCTGGTGTTGCGGGTATCCATGGGCGGCGCTGATTGCTTACCATCAGGTAATCCGTCGGCTTATATTTTTTTTATGTGATAGGTCGGCCCTATCACATAAAAAAATATAGCTTTCGGCAGGAGGCGTTTGAGTGAGGAGCAAGGCCAGCCGACCCGAGCCAAACTTACATGGGTATGTGACGCTCCACGCGCGCTTCAAAAAGCCATCAGGCTTTTACAAATGAGTCCTACTGGCTGGCTGGGCTGGAAAGGGACAAACGCAATATTGTACTTCTGACCTGGCTCGAAACAGAAGATAGGAAGGTAGGAACTGGTTTTAAGTCAATCTAATGCTCTCCCAACTCACGACACCGGCCGCTCGTGCTTTATCAAGTATTTTAAATCTACTTTATGCTCACTCATCTCACAGCAAACAATTATAATACCTACCTCCTGACACGTGTTTAAAAATATTTGAGTGGCCTTCAAAACGTTTTTTCACTGTGCAAACTTACGCTTGCGTTTAATTGTCAGTGCAACTACGTTAGTTGTTACAGGTGCATTAAATCCATTATTCTTTCGAATAAATAATATTATAAAATGATGATTAAATAATATTTTTTTTAATAAACTGATGAAACCGTGTAGGAGAGCCATGCTTCGGCACGAATGGGTCGGCTCGACCGGAGTGATACCACGGTCTCACAGAAAACCGGCGTGAACCAACCACAGAGTTGTGTTTCGCCGTGTGATTGAGTTTATAGACCATAGGCCCAATCCCTCCACTCCATCAATTCCTAAATCGCCAAATCCCTTATCCCTAAAACTACTACTCGTTTGCCGACCTATCACATATATAAAAACTGTCGGCTGTGTAATGAAATAAATAGGTTGTATTTATATTTAAAAAATCTTAAAACCCCTCCCCACTCCACTGACTTCTACTCTTACTCCTTCACTGTGCATGCTGTACGGCTGTGGAACAGGTTACCGCCCGAATTGAGGAGCTGCCAGACTGTTGCAGTTTTTAAGCGCAAATTGAAAGAGCACTATCTTTCCCTATCATAAATGTTTAGAATATTTATTGTATTTATAGGTATATATTTAAATGTGTATTAAATGGTATAGGTATGTATATATATTTATTAGTATATATATATATATATATATATATATATATATATATATATATATATATAAATATATATATTATATTATTTGGTGTTTATATGTTATGTATTTATATATTTTTGCTGTTTTTTTTGTAGTTTATTAATTCTTGTTTTCCTTTTTCCTAATTGTGTTTACACAGTCAGTCTACACAACTTTTTATTCTAACTCTCCCATAGCGGGCCTGCTGGAAGAGATTTCTGAAGAAATAAGCTGTGCCTTTGTACCTAATTGTTGTATTGTTTTTCTTGTCCAACTTACTGTGTGTTCAAAAATTATTAAATAAATAAATAAATCTATAAATTTACAAAGTCTCATCCAGAGCTACTGGAAAAGTGTGAGATAGGTAGTATATTAAACAAATGAAGTTGCTCTGCTATGCGTATCCTTTATTAATGAACTTCCTATGTTTTTATAATAACTATCGTGAGACATACTGAATTAACTAAAAATCGCCGTGATTTTTAGTTAATGAACTTCCTATCCAACTTCGAGAGTTCCCAACTACTCGATTCAAGAGGGCATTACATAGAAGGCTAATTCCTAATCCTTACTTAGGTACGTAGTAAAAAAGATTTCATACAATATCTATAAGTTTCCGAAGTAATGTTATTATTAATGAATACGATCTTGAGAACTTGTTTTCAAACATTGGCATGTCAAAGACATTGTCTTTATCAGCTTAAGACTGAGTACTGAAGTTATTGACATGTTGTAACACCTTTTATGTAGGTAACTGTATTCAATAGATCCTTTGACTTTGACTTTGAATTAAATGAAATTTGAATTAAACGTTTTATTCTTCTAACTTTTCCTTCAACTGATTTAAAACTAACCCGTCCCCGCATCTGACCAGAGTCGCCGTAAATTAAAACAAATACAAACATAGCCTTCTGCTTGCACTTGCGGTACCTAATCAAAAAGCGTGATTTTTCATAACAGCAAAACTTCTGCCATCTATTCAATAAAGTAGAAACAAATTTCAAACCCTTTCTCAGTACTTGTGTAATAGATGGCGCTATTTGTAGCTTGCAAAAGATACAAAACATTTTTCATAATAACATTTTTGTTATTTTCAGAATGCAAATAAATAATTATTTGTTTAACAGAAATTAACGCATCAACATTTTGTGTTTTTAGTAATAATATTATCATCTGCACTGCTGTGAAACTTTTATCTTCTTCTTATCCACAATGTTCACGTTAGAAAGAAAGAGAAAAATGATTAAAATCTCACGTTCCGTATCTTCTGTCTGCCATTCTTAAGCACGACGAACTTAACTGTTGTGCGAATGAAAGCGTCAAATCAATCTGTCATTCGTCGACGGCGAATCGGCCGCATTAGCGGACTTGTTTCGAGCTATTTTACAACTAGCTTTTAAATTTTAATGTGTACAATAATGCAGTGAAAAACACGCTTGGTGTAGTAAAAATAATTGAAAGAAAAGTGACCGACAATAAGATGCCTTTTGTAAACATCAAAAAGCAATATTTAGCAATGGGGTTATTAATTTTCGTTATGTTGTTTTTATTTAATACTAGGCCAGTATTTCAATGTCAGTTTAATGCAGAAGTGAGTTCATATCTCCCAGTGATATACGGGATTACTCCAACATACCCGAGGCTTGCACAAAAGGCGGATCTTACAAGGTATGAATTGTTTATCGTGATTCTTCTGCCCTTGATGTATAGATATCTTACCTTATTTGTTTGGCTAAACTATTTGGCAATATTTCTTAGTAAGCCGACAATTATTTTAATTGGTTAATTGATGGGCTTACACAAGATATGCATTGAGTAATCGCCGTGAACGTAACCATGGATGGGCCATTCGATTGTCGAGCTTTATTTGAGGAACTCAATGAAATGTAAATAGTTTTATGCAATGAATTAGCTGTGCTAACTTTATTTATAATCTGCTATGTTACTTTTCGAATTTGTTTTGTATAATATTGGATAATTTTAACTAGGAATTTAGATATACTTTATCTATTCTTCATATTTCAGCCAAATTTAAACAATTTATTTTTGTATCTATATACCATTTATTTACGTCAATATTTACCAACTATTCAAATGCATAAATTGTTCTAATGGTTTAACAAAAAAGAAAAATAATGTGTTTTCTTTTTTATAGAAACTTAGACTGAAACTAGCAGGCATTTTATGAAATCAAATAAAATTTTCACTGTGCTTAACCAAATATTTTAACCTACTTTTATTTTAAAATTAAAATACTTTCTTTTTTAAAGGAAGTATTGTTACTAATTTACTACATATAAATTTTAATAAGGGCCCATACAATTTATTAGAATAAAGTTACATGTCTCTAATTACAGTTTATGGTACATCATTCTAGAAAGTGACATAAATAAAGGAAAATTGACATGCATAGTAGTAGATTCACAAAGTACTTACCATAACTAATGCTTGTTAGCAAAGTAAATGTATGCATTCTAATTATTAACACATTAGCATAATTTTTCAGGAAGTACTTAATAAAATAATGAACTGTCAATAACTAAAATTTATTTAGAATTGTAAGTTCAATATTTGCTTTATCTGTTGTCATTTTTTTTTAAATGTTCACCTGTGTTTGCCCAGACGGTAAATAGTGGAGAAAAATAAATATTGTTCATTGTTTTATTTAATTGGATGACATATTTACAATTACATCTGCTTGATAATTATATGTTACTAATGAGGTCTTTGTATAAGCATTATTTTTCATAAATGACTAAACAAAGTCTCAGATATAATTTTTTAGGTACTTACTTTATTGAAATAAAAGGATTACTACTGCACCATGCAGATGATTTCTCAGATATATTTAACTCCAACAAAACTGTTTTGACTTTACTTAAATTATAAATTTACTCCTGTCTCTTTTCCCAGGTTATCGCAAACCTTGATGCATATAAAGAACCTTCATTGGGTGGTGATTGAAGACTCTGCAGAGAAGACGAAATTAGTTGCAAACTTGCTCAAAGAATCAAATCTAAAGTACACACACCTGAATATCAAAACACACAAAACAAAACATTCAACGGTATGTTTGATTAATACTTATAATATTATAAAATTAGAATAATTAAAATAGTTCAGGAGTCATTGGCAAAGTAACTGAAAGTCATGTCTGGATATCTGAATTTAGCATGCAAATTTCTGTGCCAAGTGTAGTAATCTGCCAGCAAAGGGCTCTCTATCTCAAACTGAATTCTTCATAACATCTACAAAATACAATTTTTAATGCGGGATTGCATAATTTACTTATATAAAGTTATGACAGCATCTGTAAATTATTTGTGTGTATTTTCATAAATAATGCTCCAAAAATGATATAAATTGTGATAGTTTTGTAGGATGCATTATGTTTTTTGAAATCCAAGCTCAATTAACAACAAACCAGAATAAATAATTTTAATAAGTAATGCTCATTTTTCTCAACAAGACTTAGAGTAGTCTTGTCTGTGTATTTGTTTTTAATTTTGATAAATATTTCAGGTGATGGATATCAATATATGTCTGTTTAAAACAAGCATATACAACACATCTTGGTATTGTGTATGTCCCAACAATTTTTAGGTGTTCTTTGAATTTGTGCATAAATGTTTGTGCGTAAATTAATATGTAAAGAACTCATGTGTTAACAGTGTTGAATTAAACTTGCAATTTATTTAGTTTTATAGGCATTACTGTAAGAGAAAGTTTTTATAACATTATATGTATACTCTCAGAAAAACAAGCATTAGCCACTTAGGTCCTTACATATGTATCTTACCGAGTCCCATGTGTGTTAGGTTACTCAACCAACAAGTCAGTTGCTAGTGGAATTATTAGTTTATCCTTTTACAGACCACAACTATAAAGCAAGTAAAAGAAGCTCACAGTGTTCTAGTAAGTTCTTACATAGTTTTTCCAATGGTGTCTTCTTATATTTTGATATAATTAACATCTGAACATATGAACCTTGAAAGGCGAGAACGATGTTTATCCTATTTATCACCAGTCATAAGTCGTATTTGATAGATGGTGAGCATATGTCACAGACCGGCCACTTCTCCAGGTTATTATAATAATTCTTTGCCTGATCAGGGATTGGACCCAAAATCCATTGCTTAGTTAAACAAGTTAGTAGAAAGGAGATGGTATGAAAGTAGTACTATGTAGTTCTTTGTGATGTTTTTTGTAGGGTGGTAAATATATTTTATCCTTTATCTATATCTACAAGGGTAATCAAAAGTAAATTAATTGCTTCATTGGGATGACATATATTTTAATGTTACAATTATCAGGTTATGCAAAGTTAAACTGAATTCACATTATATCTTTAGGTTTAAGAAAATTAAAGGTAAGAGATGAGTAATTCATTTTTGTCTTCGACTATTGCACCTACAGAAGATCTACTCCATGAAAATATTACTACATTCAACTACATATACATTAATTCCTCAACGAAATAAAGAGATGACGCAGAAGGTATAATAAGGATAAAAACACAATAATAATGTATTTAACTCGATGAACTTATGCAGGAGACATAGACAATAAATGGGATAAGCCTAGTCACTCAGCACTATGGAAATTTAACGAAAACTTATCGCAATATATCGGGGTCAATTACAATCACGTGCTATTATTACGAAGATTATTTTTAGAATTACCGAAAATCTTCGACTCTACCCGGAAGTTGAAATCGAGTTTCTTGCTTGCCATTTGTAGTACAAGTAGTAGTTTTGTGACATTTTTGTTGGGTAGTAAAAAATATTTATCCTTTTCCAGCCCACACCCATACAGAAAGTAAGAGGAACCAAAGGGGTCCTAGTAAGTTACTTCATTTTGAACATGGGTCTCATATATTTTCATGTTACACTGTGTTTGTTTGGGTTTGCATAGTCACCTTGGAGTCCATTTATTTCTAATTTGTAATGTTATATGAAATTGGATATAATTATGTTCGAATCTAGCTTTCTTGTAGGTAATGTATAGATACACCTACCATTGGTAATCAAAATATGTCAAGAGTTTCGAAATTAAACCATTGTGCCGTATTAACTATACACTAATAATTCACTATTTATAAAAATAACAATGTTAGTGGGTTACATGCGCACACACATGAACGGAGTATCTACGTACCTATATCTCATATACATACTGTTAGATAATATAGCTATACTAGGCATTTTCTACGTCTTGGGTGCTTCATTCAACTTCATCTTGGGTTTGGGTTAGCATTTATTGTTGGAACGGCAGCACGCGTCGGTAAAGTAAGCGGCACTGACAGTGCGTACGCGCATCGAATTTTGGTGATGAGCGAGCGAGTGACAGATTGCTTTTTCGTGGGTAACATAGACTTTAAAAGGCCCCGTCATTCCGTTAAACAGAACCTCAACTAGTAGCGCGGTTTCTTGTTATACTGCTCCTTTTCACACGCAACCGTGAGGGTCTTCTCTATACTACAGAGGATACAGTTAGGTACCTTAGTCTTCCGTGCACTTTAAATGGGGCTTTTAAAGCTGATCGGCACATGTTTGGCTGCGGGTGGTTCTCAACAGCGTCTGAAAGTAGTCTTTGTTCCTAACTAGAGCAACTAAACGCGATTTTTTCACGGTGGTGTAAAAAAGCATTTTGTAGTAAGTAATGGGTGAGAACTTTCTAGAAATTAGCAGAAGGGGATGTGTAGTGATTCCTACGATTACGATATCTAAATACCTATTTCTAGTAGGTATACTTAACAAGGTATTGCCGCAAGTAAATTAAGAGCTGTAATGTGTGATGATTAGAATTTTAATGACATCATCACTAAATAATTTGCAAGTTGGTCTGTGTGTCTACTGATCCGTTTGCGAGTAACAGTTTTATTGGCTTCTAATTTGCGTGAAAATTAATGATTTGGGTTTTTCTTAAACACTCTTTAATTTACTTAAAAAATAATATCAAAATTCTGAATTAACTTATTAATCTTTTCTCCTTCTTTTTGCCGGTTTTATATAATTATTCTTAATATTTCTAAAGGCGAGTGACTTTACGAAAACTTGTAGTAAGTAACATGATTCTGTTAAGTTTACTTAATGCTTCGCCAATCGCTTGGCAGTACGCCAAGTCTTCAAAAAAGGGGCTATTGTTTCTTTTTTCTTTACCTTACTGGAGTGTCATACACTAGTGGCTTATTTGACACCGCAGTTTTATTTAAGCGAATATTTTTATCTCTTTCTTAACATCTTGTCTTTTAAGTCGTGTGATACATGTAAATAATATATTATTAAGAGAACTTATATAACTCAATTTTGTTAAAATGTCTTACTTAACATTTACGGTCGAAAAATAATCAGATGAAAGATGTTTATCTCTTCCCTTTCTTGTTAACAAAAAAACTACAGAACTATTTGGCATCGTAAAATTAATAATCACCTTCTATAAGGTATTCATTTTACGATGGCAAAATTTAATGTTTTTTTTTTATTCTATTTTAGCGTGTTTACGGTACAGTCTTAATAAATATAAAATCGGTTAGTTCAGAGTTTAAATCGGTTTTGGTGTCTAGCAACCTTTACAAAAGTTATTAAGACAAACCATTAAATGTTACCTAACAAACTATATTTCAAAAACGAATCATGTCTATGTTTTATTCTTCGTGTGTGATACGTAACTCAAAGGGGATGTTTGTTTCTAATTGTTTGGAAAAAATATAGAAATGTAGTACCTATCGTTGATTAACAAAACATGTGGAAAATATTTAGCGGACGTTCCAGTTTATGATTAATCTTTGTGTGTATTACAGGCCAGTGGTGTGGAACAAAGGAATCTGGCTCTGGATTGGCTGAAGGGCCATTTGCAGAAGGCCGAGGATCAAAGAGGCGTTGTCTACTTTATGGACGATGACAACACGTATTCGCTTAAAGTTTTTGATGAGGTAAGATTTGTTGATTCTTGATTATTTTTAAGGTCTAATAAGGTACTTGTGAACTGACAAGCCAAGAACGGCAAGGGTAAGTAGATTACTTTTAACCCGTTGAAAGTCGGTTTATAAGACACAATAGAAAATACATCGTGGATCCACGTTTAAGACATACGAAAGGTTAAGAGGCTCAAGTATATTTTTTTTATTAGTACTTATATGTTCTAAATTTTAAGTATATTTTGCTGTTTACCTACAACATAATGGCGATACTACTTCATACTACAAGTATTCTAAGGTTATCAAATGTGGCTTAGGAAGTTTGAACAAAGCCTAATAAAAGACAAGTTACACTGATATAGAAACCTTAAAAATATTAACGTTAACAGATTTATAAGTAACTTATACTAAGTAACTTATGAAGGATTTCGCACAATACAAATTGCCAGTTTTAGCTTGCGTAACAAAATAAATACTTTTATAACAAAGACGTCACGTTCTTAAGTAAAATGTTGGGACTTAATGAAAGGAAAACTCAGCACAGATTGTCAGCATTTTTAGAATAATAAAAATATTTATCTCCTTCGGTTTTCCTTATGCGGATTAACCAAAACTTTGTCATGTGAGTTGAATTTTAATATCGCGTACGCGGAAAAATGCTTCACCGTTTTTAAAGTGGTTCAGGCATAATAACTGTTAGCTAGTCAGGCACATAATATTAATACAATGATTACCACGCCAAATAAAGGTCTAATAGAAGTCATTGTACGGACTTGACATCATTTTTCGAATCACATATTAATAACATCAAATCACTAGCCCCTAGGCGCCCCCTGCTGAGCAATAGCCTCTTCTTACACTGAGAAGGTTTGATCACTTATCGTTGATCAATAACTATGGCTTTTATCAAACTTTTAATCGGACATATAAGTCCAGGCTTTCTTATCATCTAGCATTGGCCCCGACCTGAAACAGAAGGAAGATGGTGGCTTTTAGTCAGCAAGTGTCTTATATTCCCTCTCGCCCGACCTAGGCAAGAAAAGTAAAAAAAGGTTCCTCACGATGTTTTTCTTTAACATTTTTTTGGGGTGTCAAAAAAAGAAATTAGAATTATTGTATACAACTAAGACAAATCTCATAATTTTTTTTTCTCAAGTTTTAAGTGGCATAACCATAACTAGCATGATTTAAATAAAAAATTACGCAAATCATGTAGGTAACTACCATTTTATCCCTTCTCCTTACCTATGTACATAATGTCCACACTTAGAGAATGCACCGCACGTGCGTTTTCGATAATGTGCTCAGGCTTATCTAAGTGATGATTGCTAGATAAGAATCCATGATAATCACATAGTTGGTTATAGTAGTAGCTAGTAGCTTACACCGCCCGGTAGTATTCAACGTGACACTGCCATCATACTTACCTATTATAAAGGCCTTGGCCGCGAATCTTGCGGACAGCGGGTAACGCTCGTGCGCGTGTATTGGGATATTTTGACTTGGAAACTAATATTATCGATACATAACCTTATTAACAGGAATCTTTTTTTAGAATTTTTATTCGAAATAGAAAAGTATTAATTTGCAGTTATTAGTTGATAAAACATATTATGAGTTGATAAGTATGTTTTATACTTTTCGCAATATTTATTTCACGAAACTGCCACTTAACAGTGTTTTTCGATAAATCACAAACAACAGTACGTTGCCGCCATATGGCTGCCTCATATGCCCATCTGGTTTCGGGAACGCGTTACCCGCTCGCTACCTGCGTAGTCGCAGCCACCGCTAGCCGCTACTCGCAATATTCGGGACAGAGGGCTTATACTAAAGTATGTGTAATGTAATGAGAGCCCCTTTGTTATTCACAAACAATAACAATATAGCCGCTCTTATACCGGAAAATATAATGTAAATATGCTATCATTTTACCTAACAATAGTATTACTGTACTCGTATTTATAGTTGACGCGATACGGAGGTTTCTAGTAATGGCTGCCACTGATTCATGTAGACTATTTAGAAGTCGATACTGCAGTCAGCCGAAGTCTTATTAGGGGTTTTCCAAGCTCACAATTTTGTTCAGTTTTATCGACATAATGCTCTTCAGTGGCATTTTTAAGAATAAGACTATTTTTTTATTTTATTTATTTGGCTCACCAACAATTGTTTACACGATAAAATATTAGAGAGACTACTCGACTGAGAAGCAGGTCGTACATTCTATGACTAAAGAGTTCGTTCAAATCACGATGGATAAGGATATAGGTAATATTATCATCGCAGAATGTTGTTACTTTTTCTTGACTAGCATTTCCCTGGCGTGGCATGAGCGATCATGGTCACGATTCATGATGAGAGCTGTGTAGACCTAGGATACAGCTTTCTTTACCATCTCTTAACGCCTTTCCCTGATCATCTTAGTCTGACGAATTGTACTTGAGGTCCAGCTTACAATATTGGCGTCTATATGGAGCTTTTAGGAGATTAGGACACAGCAAAATATAGGCATATAATCATAAAGCACAGCAACTTGATCGTTCCTGGCCCAATAAGCCATTCTAATAAAGCAGCTTAATGTATTAAATTAGTACCCAACCATTTAGCGACGGTCATCGACACAATCTTATCAATTCCTAACCTAATTTGCTAACCGGAGTTCCCGGCCGTCCCGATAGCTTCCTAAGCCAATATACAAATAGATAAAACTCGATTCCTAGGAGTCATTCGAGACGGAATTGATGGCACTGTAAACGTATGAAGTCTTTAAGGGTTGTCTCAAACGATTTCTCTCACATTACAAAAAGGTTTTATTGTTTTACATTGATTGTAAGTTTAAACTTTTTTATATAACCTTTGACCTTTTGATAGTGGTAATTCGAGAACAACAGAAGAACAACAGGCGCACGAGCTTTCGCTTGGGGTTTGCTACTGCACTAATTGCCAACCTTGTGGAAATACGGAAAGAAAGAAAGAAAGATAATTTATTTGTAAAACAAGCGTATACATGAAATAAGTCGGACGTCGCGAGAGCGTCCATGTTTTGCCGATAAACAGCGTACAAATATTGTATAGACATAAACAGTAATTTAAAACGTGTTGTGTGTTGTTTGTTGAACGGTGGAAGTCTTCCGGCTAATTATGTTTAGCAAATTTTTTATTAACGCATCCAATCCCTGACCTTCTGGTCGCCAGCCACGATCTGTGCCGTTTTCTACGAAGTGACTACTGAAGTTCTGACTACATGTTGTAAATTGCGTCTGAACTTATTATACCAACACCGCATCCTTATCAAGAAGGAGTTCATCGACTCTAGATAGCATTTATTAGTATCTATCCAGTCTTCGAGATATGCACGTAAACATACATTTATAGAATAAATTACTATAATATTGTTTTGAATTAAATGGAATATAGGTAAATGTTGCCATCCTATCGACTAAACACAACTAGGCTGTAATTACATATTTATTTAATTTTGTCTTTACTTACTCGACTAATTCTTAAACATAATTTGTTCGATGTTCAATGGAAATAATATCGAGATATAGGAATTATTGTTTAAGCATAACAGATATTTTTTTCCATTCTTGAATGGTTATTTCCATCTCTTTCTAAAGACGTTTCGATATAATAAGGCAAATATATCGTGACAGCGTCCATGTTCAGCTAAGGGCTTCATTTGTATGACATCAAAATAAAAAAGTACGTTTGATTACTAATTGGGTAGTTTCCTATGTCAAAAATAAATTAATTCGACGTTTCAATACAACAAAATATTGAAAAATAACTATACTTATATTCATCGATCGATCGATACACTGAATTTTAAATATTATTTAGCTATTTTTAAAAAAATAAGTAAACTATTTGACGCAAAAAAGCTATGACGTGATAACTCACTTTTTCATACAAATTTCATAGAAAAGTATCGTTTTTGACATTTGGATAAAAGTATTGAATTTGACTAGTTGGAAACTACCGTATTCTTACTTGCACACGACATAAAAAGCACGGACAAACTTTAAAAAAGTCCTTAACTGTCGAACATTTCACTGGTTATTAACTTACATAGTTGTATTTAAAACAAAATTGTCAGCGCGGTTTCAGCCGTTCCTATTTCTCGCAGGTATGTTGTTTTATAGTCTTCCTTTATAAATGGACTATCCAACGCACAAATAATTATTCAACTCGGACCAGCAGTTCTAGAGTTTAGTTCAAACAAACTCTACAGCTTTATAATATTAGTATATGATGTTATATGTATATTATGAAATGTGTAATTATTATCAGTACCAATATATTTTATAGATATTTATATTAATGTTCATTCAAGAGCGTTCGTGTATTAAAAGGGATAGCCTTGTGACCGACAGCTGATGTTTAGTCGTGACTACTAAACTAACTAGGAAATTATGTATGTACAATATTGTAAAATGTTTTGCTTATCATTTGAACTGTATCGGTTAGTCACGATAACATTCATGTTGTTACTGAGTACGTAGTTCCGATTGGAGTATTATCACATTATAAATATTATGTTATAGCTGCAATTTAATTACATGTAACATAATGCAATGCATATAAACATTGAATTTAAGTGTGCTAGAGCCATGCTTACGTACGCATGAACTAACTCCGGCGTAAGACAACGCTTGAGGTTAAAGGAGACTTATTCATCCCCTTACCCCATCCCAGTCCCCAAATCCCCAATCCCCAAATCTCCAATCCCCAAATCTCCAATCCCCAAATCTCCAATCATCAAATTCCCAATCATTAAATCCCTGATCCATAAGAGGCCGACAATGCACTCGTCTCGTAGGTTTCTCTGGTAGTTCTATCTCAGTTATTATCGATTGTTTCGTGTATCAAAATTTAGTTTTGTCCTATTTTTAAGCACAATCGCATTTTAATGTATTTACAATGTACCAAGCCCAATTTCAAGATTTAAGACTTGCTTCCTATTTCTAAAAGCTAATTTCTACCTATGAGTAAAGTATAAAAAACATTTGTAAGAATCATATACCTATCTCTGCCAAACGCGGTATAAGATAATAACTTGGCTAATAAGACTATATTCATATACCAAGTTATCGTCTAAGAACACGTATTAAAAGACATTATCATTGAATTTTCGAGCATATTTCGCGATTGTACACCGTCATGAGGCGGGTCGTTGACCTCTCTAAAATTAGGTTGAGCGTAGCACTACAGATCATGTCGATGACTGGTGCATACGTGACGTTTGCCGGGAGCCCGTTCAAAGCAAGTCTCTTCCAACTTTATGTTGACCTACTCTACTCATTCCGAACTCTGAAACTTGTTTATGATCTTATTTTAAATTTAGAATTGGATTATTTTTTTAAGAAAACATTGTCCTCTTTGGTATTTTCCTGAAGTACTTGTGTGAAGATGTACCTATTTGTTTGGTAGAAGACTAGCCGCAAAAGTATTTTTCGATACTTAAGTAAATAATTCTTATTACCGTCTGATTGCAAAATGAAGGCAATAAACTGAATTTTTAACAATCCAATCCAAGATTTGTACTGAAGATTAAATTGGTAATAATTTTCTTGTAAGTACAGCTTATCATAAGGCATACCTATGGAAATATAGATGTACCGTAATGCACTTGATTTTTATCGTTGTAATGATTATAAAACGAAGTAAATTACCACATGGTAATTTACTCCGTTTTATTAATCAAGAAGTTTATAGCGAAAACATAAATGATTATGTTTTATATACTTCTTGATTATATACCATATACGGCAATTAGGTTGCCAACCTTTCGTTACTATGATAGTACTAAGTTCTAATCCCACAATTAAGTAAGATCCCACCATTGATAAAAAGGGGTTACTTAGTAGACCACCACTGATGGGCCCCAACAAGGCTGATGTTCAGCCGGAGTTGCAGGTCAAGCATAATAAACCTCGGCCTCGACCTGAAGCAGGAGAAGGAACTTGTAGGTTTTAGTCAGTAAGAGTCTGATATTCCCCCTGGCCCCATCCTGGGCGGGAGCAATTGATGATTTTCCCCATTTTGTAGATTCGAATTTCCAAATTAAATATTATACTATAAAATATCGGACTGTAGGATCGGTCTTGAGGTAGTTTTCGCCTTAATCCCATTTGTAAGTGTTTTGTTATTCAGTTCAGTTAGTATCTGTACCGGTTATATGATTTTGAAGCTCAAGAAATAAAATTGCAGTTATAAAAATGTTGATATGAGGAAAATATGTATAAAAATACGGTTGCTCACTACCGTCATTGGATCGATAAGTTTGGCTGTAACACCCGACTGTTTACTGCGTTATCTTATCGACTCTTTGCGTAGATTCCGCTAAAAATAGTCTAATGAGTAATGGGTGCGGTTCCCTATCTAGTTTTGTGAAACCCCCAGTTAATAGACCGTTCTGTTATCTATTTGTACAGACTTTTTATTCTATTTTTTTTTTAAGTTTATTAGCGTTTGTGAATGGTACTTATTACATATTTTTTAGTTTCCTAATGGCTTTCCCCAGATTATTTGTTTTCGTTAATTTGGAAGTGCGTTATTTTCTTTTATTTACCCTTTCGTTCGACTGAAGAACACCTTTTAAAACTTAACATAATATTTTAATCTGGGCTCTATGGTGTTTCTGAGAATGACGAACAAAAACGCAACAAAACTTATCCTAGATTTTTGACTGAAACCAAACAGTTTGATGCGAAAGTCGACCACACAGAACACATTACGTGTTCATATTCATATTTGTACAAGCCAATAATTTCTGAATTACAGATGCGAAAAGTGAAGAGAGTTGGTGTATGGCCTGTCGGCATAGTTGGTGGTATGAGGGTCGAGATGCCTCTAGTCACTGACGGGAAAGTAAGCGGTTTCAACGCCTGGTGGAAGCCATTCCGACCATTCCCCATTGACATGGCAGGGTTTGCCATCAATGCTACCTTGTTCCTTGAACATCCTGAGGCCAAATTCTCCAGAAAAGTCCAATCAGGCTTTCAGGTTAGTATTTGATTTAAAAGTTGGTCAGTTTACATACATTTAAGTGTGGGAGAGTCATGCTTCGGCACGATTGGGTCGGCTCGACTGGAGTGATATCACGGCGTCACAGGCGTAAGAAAAGAAAAGTTCTTTTACGCAGAAAATCGGCGTAAAACAACCACAGCATCGTTGTGTTTCACCGTGTGATTAAGATTACCAGAAGCCCAATTCCTCCCCCTCTCCCCATCCCTTCTCAATCCTCAAATATCCCAGACCCTTATCCCAAAAAGTTCGGCAAAGCACTCGTAACTCTTTTGTGTTGCGGGTGTCCATGGATGGCGCCGATTGCTTGCCGATCTTTCTCATAAAAAATACATATCACATTGACTTACCTATTACTAAATACTTACGAGATTTAGGCAAAAAGTTAACAATAAGCAAAAATCTGTCTGTATACTTAGTCGAAAAAATTGTATGACATAATATGCATTGCATACTGTGTATAGCTACTGACAACACACCCAGTACCTACCGAAACACATTCAGTTGTGTTCACGAAATACAAAGGTGTGAGTCCTGTGTTTGTAAACCAAACAATACTTGGGCAACATTCTAGAGAAAGGTAACTTTAAAATAAAGTAAGTATTGGTAAAAAGTGTGTAAAGAACTCTAATAAAAAAAATATTTGACCTTCTTGCTCAAAAATGATACCTACATAATTTTTACCGTTATTGCCCTTGTAAGAGGCTTATTATATGGAGTTTTGACCTCTTAATATAAGCTTATTATTACTTTGCGCTCGGCCTCAGGGAAACCCAATCGATATTAAATTAATCAACAGTAAGTTACAACAAGTAATGTTAATAACAACAAGACACTTATTACTGTTAGGTACTAGAAGAAGGAGAATCCTTTGTGCTATTATAAAACATTATCTCTGTGACACGTACAGATTAATTTAGTAGTTTTGTAACAAATATCTATTACATGTATATTATCACAAACTCAAAGATATTTACACTAATTAAATAGTAGGTGGTCAAAAGTACACGAGTACAGTTAACCAATTAATTCCTTAGTAGTTTATAGTTTGCATGACCTTTTAAGTGTCCGTCCGTCCAACCGTCCGGTCATGTGTGACAAATGGTTCGGCTTGACCAGAATGATACCACGGCCTCACAAAAAACCGACGTGAAACAACCACAGCGCTGTGTTTCATCGTGTGAGATTACCGGAGGCCCAATCCCTCCCTCTCTCCCCATCCCTTCCCAACCCTTAAACATACGGAATTCTTATCCCTTAAAGGCCGGCAACGCGGTTGTAACTCCTTTTGAGTTACGTGTGTCCATGGGCAGCGCTGATTGCTTACCATCAAGTAATCCGTCTGTTGCGTGGCTCAGCTCTAAATCCATAATAATGTCTTAAGTTCCTTGTTATTATAGCAACTAAAACCGGTTTACTACCAATTATATTGTTATAATAATAGTAATAGATCAGAAGCTATCATTGTTTTGGTTATTTTTTTATAAATAGAAATATATAAATTTGTCTCTAAGTTTGAAGATAATAGAGTTCAATATGTCATTCTTATTATCATCATATTTCGAACTCTTGCTTCCAATTAATTTTAGATTTTTTCTACATTGCTATCAAAATAATACTTTTTCCTTAACATGTAATAAAACCAATACCGGTGTTTATTACACCAGTGTTCAGTGCTGAGATTGAGAACAGGCTTCTTCTCACACAATTAAGGTTTGAATAAGAACCACGCTTAGTTAAGGCGAATTGACGGTTGGAAATATCGATTTATACTTTCTAACTACTTATCACGATGCTTTTCTTCGCCATATTATAGCATTGATATTGAAAAACCTCACATAAGTGCCAATTTGCGAAGGAGTGTCATTTAGCGATCTCTCAACTTCTTACATGAAAAACAAGCAATATAAGTATAGGCCACCATATTTATTCACCACAAGCATGCACGTTGTCGTCATTGTGAGGAGCACCTAGAGGATACGGTGGAGCATACGGTGGCGGTATGCCCTGCTTGGGCTGAGCACCGCCGTGTCCTCAGGGAGGCGGGGACCTCTCGCGCCCGGCCTTAATCGAGGCCCTGGTTCATAGCGAGAGGAACTGGGAAGCTATCTCCTCCTTCTGCGAAGCAGTTATGCTCGCAAAGGAGGAGGCGGAGCCCGACCAGAACCAGACCCGAGCGTACGGCGCATAGCGTTCCGCGCGCGCCTCGATGAGCCAATAGACCACCACAGACGGGGCCCCATTGGCCTGATGTTCAGCCGGGGTTGCGGGGTAAGCGTGCGGAGCGGGGTAAGGAGTAGGGACAGGGGGGTTTTTAGTCAGTAAGAGTCTGACACTTCCTTCCGCCCAACCCTGGGCGGGAGAAGTCATTTGATGATTTTCCCCTCACAAAAAAAGCATGCACGTTACAATTCAAAAACTACCCAGGCTTATTCAGTCAAAATCCATTCACAAATACTTAACCAACTCTTCGTAGGTATGATTTACAAATTCTTGTTTAGGGTCAGTGTATATTTTTTTATATTTTCGTAGTTTAATTTGTACAGACACCCGCAACACAGAAGAAAATCATCATTTTATTTTGACACCTCGTAACAGAGTGATTGAATAAATAATTATGTCACTATCCTCAACCCAAAATTTATCGATAGGTACTGCAGATTAAAAATAATGGTTTTATTTAATTCAATCTAACCACGGCATTCAATAAAAAACAGCGCCCAACAGCTTTAATAAAAAAACTGGACAAAAGCTGCCATTATATAATATTCCATTTTATCAACATTCATTTATTTTTAGATAACACAGAGATGTAGGTTAATAGGTAATAATAATACTCGTTGAAGAAAACATTATCACAGTAATTGTTTTTAATAAAGTTCAATAGAGGTTATTACTACATTACCGGAGTTTGTATAGCATACCTATATCATTGAAGACATCAAACAGCAATAAAATAAATAACACATAAACTTTGTTCTAAAACCGAATGTTCTGAATTTCAACAAAAATGCTTTTATTAATCTTTATTTTTCTCTAATTTACAGGAAAGTGAAATATTAAAATACTTCACGACGAGAGACGAATTGGAGCCGTTGGCTGAGAACTGTACCAAAGTTTATGTGTGGCATACACGAACCCAAAAACCTTCGATAGTAAACCCGCAGAAACTGAAACGCCCTCTCGTCTCTTACGACCATATCGAAGTGTGAGTCCAATCAGTATTTCATTGGTCTTTTCATACACAAGGAGAAATCTCCTGGAAGAACAAAACCCTACCATATAACAGGGGGTTTAAGTTCACTTTAAAGTGTTACTCTATACAAGCTATTACTTGAATACTCAATTGGTGTATACTCAGATCAAAAAAAATTATATATCGTATAAACTACTTTTTGTAGATTTCGTCTCGATTTTATGTGTATAAGGAACAAATTCATATGCTCTTCATTTCTAACTCCGAAATGCCACTAAATTATTTTTTTAAGTATTTTGCTCTGTTAATGAGAATTTTTATAGTGGTATTTATGACTCATGCTTACTTGCTAAATATGATATAAATTGTGAAATGTTGACAGAATAAATAGATCTTAACTTGGGCCTGCAAAAGAATAATTTTGCGATGTCGTAAATTTAAATAAAAATGTACCTACACAACCAGTAAATACTACCAATAGAGTCGCTAGACACGGGCTCAAGTTCCACTTATGTTATATATTTTTCAAAAGTTGTATCATATTTATTATATAATATTATTATTATATTATGATAGCCTGCATCATGTAAATGATACATATACACAATAATACACACATTTAATTTAAGCAATAATGACTGGTATGTTGTAAATAACGCATGACGTATCGTGTAAACAAATAATTCAATTATTGCTCTTATATTTTCAAGAAAATAGAATCATGCAAATGAACCTTAAAGAGTGAATTAATTACTTTTTCAGTGATTTTGAGAAGAGTTGTTTTATCATAATTTATATATTTTAGTAAAGCTAGTTAATTTTATTTCCTACCAAGGTTATTGACGTTATGTAGCTCTGAATCATATATATTATAGGAAATATATAAAAAAGTTTAATTTAAAATGGCATAGTCCTTAATGTAGGGAAGTAATTTATACTTGATATGATAAATACAATTAGGTTTTATGTCAGTTTTGTTTATTTTGCTGAGATGATATTAAGATTTTCATTTACACATTTCAAATCAAAGAGTAACAGAAGACAACAAGGTGGTAACCATTTTAACAGATCCAGCATAAACAGGGGACTTGCGTGGCTGATTTACCACCATCACGGAGTACTCTTACATTAAGTTTTAATACTGTATTTGACACCTAGTCAAGGCCAGTATTTTTAAGAAACAATTTCCTGTAATATCGTATTTTTATGATTCTCTTCAATAGTTTTTATGAGATATAGACTTGTGTCATAATTTTTAAAGGACAAATGGTAAAAATTGGTCTTAAAATATGCTAGAAAAATTAAATATTTCGTGAGCATATAACACATTCGTTAATTGTATTTTTCCAATAATACATCGGGATACTCATGATAACAAACGACTTGAAAAATGTATCTTTGGGAAAGTTGTTTTTATCACTTATAAAGGTATTGTTTTGTTAAATATATGTTTGCATTTTTTAAGAAAGTACCGACCAATATTAACCAATACACACAAACGATTCGGAAATTGTGTCAGCATTAAACATAAGTTCCCCTATTTATATGCCTATATGCAGTTGTTCTCAGTGTTAAAAAGCCCGCTTTGTATTTCATTATATTTAAATTTTTCGTTACTTAAAAGTACGGATATCTGTGGCCATTGACCAAAAATTATATTCCCTTAAATTAAATAATAACATTATTTAATCAATAAAGTTGACAATGATGTCAATACGTGTATTGTTATATTTTTTTATAAAAAAATCGTATATTGTGCAATTTATAAATTGTTCTTTGGGTATCGGGCTTTTCGAAGTAATTTACCAAGAAAAATAATGTTTTCATCACAATTTGTCATAATAAATTACGTTACTTTTCATTTTTTCCATTGTATTCAGTATTATGTGCTATTTTTAATTCTTGGTTGGCCATCTAGAACATGCTAGATTTTATTATACCATTTTTAAATTTAATATAACGTTATTACAAGTTTTAGTGTAATAGCATAATTATATTTTACTTCTAATGTAAAACTAGTCTTGTATTTTATATATATATTTTGCAATAGTCGAGTTTTTATTAAAACGTAGATATTACATTTATTAAGAAACTAATATATTTTATTACTCTTTAGACGTCATAATACGATCTATAGATTTTAGTAAATTATTTTGTAGGCATTAGTGAAGAATCACGTAACTTATATTGGTATTCTGTAAGTTGTACGCCATCTTACAACACTGCTGCCATCTAGTTTTAAGTCTGCGAAATTCTTGGTGTAGGGTATTTTATTTTAATGAGGCTTTTCATATTGATTTTTTTTTCAGTGTTCAAAATTTCTTTTGTTAGGTGTTCTTTTTTTGTTTCTGCTCTATGCAGACTTCTAAGATTACTTAGTAGTAGCCTATAAAATTAAAACTAGATTTTAAAAAGTTTGTACGCGCGGACTTTCTGAAGTACTGCACCAAATTATATAGCGAAAATATTCGTTCCGAACTTATTGTTTGAGAATTGTTTGAGCTGTAAAATCAAATTTTTGACCAATTGGCTCAGTCATTATATTATACAATCGACGATTTGAATGGTAGTATTCCTTGCTTATTTAATTACTGACTGCCAAGTAGAGTCTGCTTAGGGTGTAACTGCATTAAATTGAGAAAGCTATTTATTTTAAACATATTTGTTTATCCATTTTGAATACTAACTTAAAATAGATAAGCAAATAATATTAATACATTTTGTACTCGATTTTTATTGAAATACTCTGTTTTTATTTCTTTAATATCTGTAATGCTACTCAATTTTAAAATGACCTTAAATTATTTATGTCATGGCGATTTAGCAGTCAACGGCATTTATGTGCAATTACATTAAAATTGAGTTGCGTTTCGAGATTTTTTTTTTACCTTAATTTATACAACAAATGTTTTTTTAAAAGTGGCCAGTGAAAACAGGGTACTAAAAGCTTATAATTGTGTTTTAATGAATAATTTTACCTAAATATTGTTTAATGGTACCTACGAACTCCATCTACCCTTGGCAACTTTGTAAAATTCATTTTTTACAAGTACTCTTTATGTTTTTTTCATCAATGGTCATATTTTACGACCTGTCACGTCAAATGTGTCAAATTTACTTAATTGAAAACGAATGCCTAGTCTATTTCTGATTAGCATAACAAATCGATCCTTTTGATACTCTCTTGTTACATTTTCTAAAATATAAATCAACCAGATCTTTTCTCAGGCGGGTGTGAAAACAGTGATTTTTTTCTACTATGTTTAATTTGATCAATAAAGCGAAAAGCTACAGTGGCGCCACCCGCTCACCTAATTAGTCAGTAGCTTTGTCACCCTAGTAATAGCATTCCGAGAAAAGTTAGTTCACACCGAAGTTTTAGTTGCACTAATGCATTTCAAGTAGTTAACCCGCTGTTCACTTGTTATACCTTTCGTTTTTATTCTAGGTCTTAGGAAACTTGTCTAGATGTAAAACTAAGCATAATAAATTAGTTTGTTACGAAATGCTCAAAGTTCCGAATCGGTCTAAAACTTGATTCCTTTTTAGCGTAGAAAACTTTTTGTACTTATCTCTCTGTTATTGTATAGGAAACGTGGACATTTATTTGGATGGGAGATTATTTGTGATAGATTATTTGTGGGTATCTGACGGTTGATGATTTCTGTACCGCGAGTTTGAGTTTTGTTTTGACATAAATTAATTTTAAAATTGATAAAGATTTCAGTGTGTGTGTACTGTGTACTAATAAGAGATTGTGTATTTGTAAATGAAAAACCGATAGTTGTACTTACCTTTTAGTGTAAACGAAAGAGATTTTAGAATGGATAACCTTTTACCTTTGTCTAAAAATAAAATGATTGTAGTGTGGTTCAAGATGTGAATTTGAATTATGTGCTCGCGGTATTAGATTTTTTGGTGATTGATCCTATATTTCCTATCTTTGGGAACAATGTATGATGAAACTGATTGAAACAATTATTATAATTTAATATCTAATGCATATCGAATCTCAATTTGTTTATCTTAATAGGAAAGGCTGTTTGTTGTTGCAATTGATTAAATAAAAAAGTATCAATACCCTAACATATTAAACTTATTTACAAGGCCTAAAATATTCCCGTAATCCTATAATTGTTTCTAATTCTAATTAATGTTATCCTATATTAATGTTAAAATTTATTTAATTGAAATACGTAATTGAACAATTAATTTGGAACAGTTTGACCGTCGCGATGGCAATAATGTAATGTTTACATTTACAATAGTTAAACTAATATAAATTAAGAACATTTATATCATAAATACAATTCTTCCGTTGTATACTTACTCTCTAGTTTAATTTAGTGTTTAAGTACGATCGAGTAGGAAACTCTTCATGTGATGATTTTTAGATTTCTATTTCTATAATTTTGTAAATACTTCATATTTAATTTTATTGTATGATGAGAATAAAAAATACAATTGATTTATTGTTGTTTTCTTTTTGCCAGTTGTTCCTTTGTCTCTGAAGCAAAGCTTTTCTATATACATAAATGTATTTTTCTACCAGATTGCCACCTAGGTACTGTTTAAACAGGTACTCTACATTATTTGGGCGCGTTACATTATTTGTTTTCAGCTTTGCTGACAAAGAGTAAAAATTAAAGTATTAAAGCCCATTTTTTTATTATTTTTGACTTCATATTTGACGTAGTGGCTGGCCAACCAGCTACCGATGCCTATGTAATTTGTCATGTCATAAGTCGGCAAACGAGCGCTTGGATTATCAGAAGTCAGTCGTGACATCTTACCTACCTTTTAAAAACATTTAATTATTTAACATTAAAGGAATAAGTAGTTTTATTTCATTAGAATAATAACAGTAATACCTACCGAGGTCATAGTCGATATTGGTAAAATGCCTCGCCATTTAATAAAGTTAATCCAAAAGTTAAAAAATTAATATAGGTAGGTACCTATTCCAAAGGTCCCAAAATCAAGCAAAATTGTAGGTGCAAGCGTAGTGATTTATACCGCAACCTGGAGAAACAGGGTGTTTTAAACAGTAACACCCGGTTTCTGAAAGGCTTGTCAACGCTAAAATTAACTAATCTCCTGTTAAATCTCTTGTCAAGTCATCTGATTGGTTGTTGATAATCAGATGAACCAGATCAGAAGAAACCAATCAGATGACTTGACAAGAGATTAAATTGATTTTAACATTGATCGGCCTTTCGGAAACCAGGCGTAAGAGTCTGACACTTAAATCTCGTCCCTCCCAGGACAGGAGAAGTCATTGGATGATTAAATCTTTCCTCGAAAAATGGCGTAGCTCAGTTGCTTCTCATCATGTAGGAACTTGTGCTAGCGAATGTAGGTCGCACCTGGCGGTGAACTTCCTTGCCGGGTCACCGCCAAGGAATCTGAATGCGAAGGTAGCCAAATTAGTGTGTGGCGGAACAAGCTCCGGCGCGATCTCATGGCAGAGTAGAAGCAACGTCTGTCGCAACCGAAGGCCAGGCACGCTGTTATATCACCGGTAAGTCCGCTCTTTGTGAAGTGGCTTAAAAGACACTATGGCGTCCTCGCCTAGAAGGTAGGTTCCTGTTTCGGATCCGGCGGCGGGAGGAAACGCCAGAGCTTTGTTATTGTGAGGACCACCCATAGGACATGGTGGGCCATACGGTCATCACCGCCCGGTCTTAACCGAGACTATGATGCGGAGTGAGAGGCTCTGGGAAGCCGTCTCCTCATTATGCTCGATTTAAAGAAAACCATCTAAGCACTTATTTTCAGTTACCTACATAATCAGTAGCTTAGGTAGGTAGGTATACTATATTGTGCAGAGAAATCTGTATGGAAGTTATAAAACAATAAGTTATATTGTTGTTCAAAACTAGGTACTTAGGTAGGTAAGTAAACCTATAGGCACAGGCACTTCTCTTGCGAGGTTTATGAAGTCCATGTCAAAACTTCCCTAAATTCGATTTGTTCAATAATCAAAGAAGACTTGTAATGCAAAATGTTTTCGACATGCGACTGACTTGGAAAACTTTTGAGTGACAAGTTTTTTCTCGCTACCAGGTAAGGTCGGCAACGAGGGGTGAATTTGAATGAACTTGCTAATATACATACTCAGTGGAAAAGTCTGTATGTCTGTTTCGTGGCAAGTATCTCAATTTTATCTCGATTTTTTCTTGGAAATCTTTGTAAAAGATTCCACCTGGGCGTTTATTTGCAGATATGGGGGGATTGTTAGTAAGTAGGTACCGTACTT